GGATGTCGGTGAAGCTCAGTCAATCAAGCAGAGTTTTTATCGCATTAATCCAGAGAAAGGCAAGTCTATGGAGGAGGAAGTAAAATATATGTTGGATCATGGTTTTGCAGAACACTCTTCCTCCAGTTGGTCATCACCTTGTTTGCTTGTACCAAAATCTGATCACACCTATAGAATTTGCACAGATTTTCACAAGGTGAACGCTGTGACCAAACCAGAGATTGATTAGATGGTCAGTATTTCTACAGTCGTACTGGCTTGTTATCTGATATATAAAGGGCTCAGATAATGTGGTTGCAGACGCTCTGTCTCGAGCTCCAAATGCCTGAATTGTCACTATTAATCTACACTTTGTCTTTTTCGTTGTCCTTAAATTGCTTCCCAGTGGTACCAGGTTGCTGAAGGGGAAGGTTTAGGGACAAGGTGGGAATAAGTGACTTCATTATCAGGTCAGTGTGTACACTTCAGAATTGACTTAACATTAAAAGTATAAAAATGTTTGTTCCACATTGTATTAAAAAAGTAAAATGTATATTTTGAGGAGTGTAATTCAGAGTTAAAACTTTTTGGGATGGATATTTTTTATGGTGGGGGGTGTGACGGCCTCTTTGTTTTGTTAAGGCCTGTCTGTGGTTTTTTTTTTCTGTCTGCAGGTTCTGATTAGCAGTGTCCATCAGCCTGACTGGGAGCACCTGACCAGTGATCCCAGCCTGAGTGAAGACTGCCACTGTGTGCTCCTCTCTCTCTTTTCCAACATGAGACGGAGGGAGGTGGTCACCCTGGTTCCTGTTGGCACACCCAAGACACACATTTTCAGTTAATAAACAATGTAGTTTTTGTTTTACTTAAGTCTAATGGTTTTTTTTAGTTATTTGTCATGGCCAATGAGCCGGGACGTGACACCTGAAAAAATAAAATTTTTATCTGTAAAAAATATTTACACAAGGTACAATCTTTTTTTGTTAATGTCTGTTTACAGGTTCACCACAGCTTCCTGTTAATGGGGAGTTTATCTTCTCCGTCACAGTCTCCCATCCTGAGCAAACGCTGAAGTGATTCAACACAATCTGCTGGTTTCTTCTTTACATTATTCTTTTTATGTACAGTGCCCTGAGACAACGTATGTTGTGACCTGGTGCTATATAAATAAACTGAATTAAATTGAATTTGTTCTTCAACCCTGTGGGGACCTTGCATTGGTTTCCATTCATTTTTTTTAGACTTTATAGCCTAAACCTGACCATTTATCCTAAAATTAACTTCACAGGTACTTACACGACCCTAAATCTTACCTAAACCATGATGCTCTTCAGTCCCCATGAGGCTGCTTTTTTGGGAAAATTGTCCCCACGTTGCAGGAAAAACCTGTCCCCACGCACACACACACACACACACACACACACACACACACACAC